GTCCCCCTACGCGTGGTCCATACCTCTCCTCACGCACCTGGTCCCTCACCCCCTCACCAAAGAGAGGGGACAGGTGATGGGCAGTTCGTCCCAAAAAGTACAACACATTTTTGTGCTGAGGGATGGTTATTTACAGCCTCCTCCTCCTCTTGGTTCCCCCACACACACCCAAAACAAAAGGACAAAGGATGACACGGATGAGTCAGGGTGAGTACAACTAGTTTTTGTCCTCCTCCAACTCATCATTCCTTCCTCCCTCTCCCCCAGCGGAAGAGACAGAGGGAAGGGAGCTCCCCCCACAGCCACAGTCATAACAAACCTCTCTCAATAAAGTAACCCCCTCCCAAGCCTAAATATTAGGCTGAGCCCACAGAAAAAGAAGCCCAAGGGGCTTCCCTCAAAAAAATACCTCTCCTATTTACAGTATTGCTTTCACTCGCACCCACAGAGCAAGGGATATGTGTCCATCCCCTCCTGGTGTGTCCGCAGACATAGCTGGTCCCCTCTCCCGTCCTCACCAGTGGTTAACCACCAGCAAGAGGGGACAAGCCACGGGGAGGACAAGCCATGGGGAGGACAAGCCATGGGCACAGCCACCAGCAGCACAAGTCTGCTGGTAGGAGCAGGTAGAAACGGTGCCTATATACAGCAGAGGAACAACTGCCCCCCTTCCCTCTCAGGGCCTGCAGCCCCATAGCTTCTACACCTTCCCTGTCGTTATGGGGCAGCTGTAGAGGAGGGGAAGGACTGGTAACCTCGGTGTCCTCCAGATGAGGTGCTCACACAGCCACAGGCCAGACTTGTGTCCCATCCTCCCGACTTCTGAGGGTGCTACGGGGCATCGGCTGGACACTCAGGGGGAGCACCTGTGGATCTTGGGTCTGCTCCCGATCGCTGCTACTGGGGCCGGTGTTGTGCGGAGCAGGGTGGCTGCTGGCGGGATGCAGCTCCTCACTGCTGCAAGGTTATCTCCCACTTCTTGTGCTCTGACAGATGTCTGTGCTGGGGAGAATTGTCCAGGTGGCTATTGCTGAATTATTTCCCTTTAGGGACCTTACTTCTATCCTGGAATAAAGCATGTGCTTCCACCGCTGTGTCTTTACTCGAAGCAAAATTATGAGCAGCGTGGAATGATGGCCACCCGAGCTCTATCTGAGAGTCACTACTGCCACCTAGGCGAGGCTTTAAAGACAGCCAGCATCTGAGATGCTGCAGAAGACGCACGAAGGTATGGTCTCCAGTAAGCCCAGTTCTCAGAGAGCTCAGCCTGGCCCCAACCAATTCTCTGCACACCAAGACCTCCTGCCCGCCTGAGTGGGAGGCAAAGCGCAGCTGCGCAGGGCAGGACCCTCCCCTGATTGGTTGCACCCCTGTGCAAGAGCCAGATGCACGCTGGCCATCCCAGCAGCAGTTATTTCTTCCTGGGGCAGTCCTGCTCCATTCCTTTGTGCTACAAAGACAGTGTCAGCAAGAGACTTTGCACTCTGGTAGCAGGGGAACGGAGTTGAGCTCAGCAGGACCTGAGGAGTGAAACTGGCTTTCTTCTCCTCCTGCCCAAGGTGAAATGGCAAAGCTCTCCTCTCCCCCTCAAACCAGCCCAGCTGGAGACGAGGGCTCTCAGGGCCTCCTAGAAGCCCACCTCCTCCATCCTTCCTCCCACGGGCACCGTGTCCAGGGGCCAGGGACTGGGCATGGCTTCCCTCTCGCCTCACCAAACACTGGTCCAAAAGAGCGGCAAGGAGAGGTACAGGCGAGGGGAACCTTCTCCACCTCAGTCCAAGGGGGCTGGGGAAGGAGTGACTGGCCCTCTGCTCTGCCAAGTCTCTTGCTGTAACCCACAGTTGTGCCTGTGGTTTTTGATTGTACCCGCAAATCTTCCTCCTTCCCTTCCCATTTTATCTCTTTGTGCTCCCCCCCGCAATACCACTTCTCCCCAAACCCACTAAACCACCCCACCCCTCCCTCACTAGCGTGTCCCCTTCCCCAGCCACCAGGCCTTCCAGCCCAGTTCAGATGCTCCCATGTCTACTCCAGCCTTCAGCAACACCATCTTTTCTAGGAAGGTCCTGGTCCCTCTCACTCCTTCCCTTCTTCCCCCAGCACCCTCTCCCTGCCCTGCTCGTGCCGTAGCCCCTCTCCTGCCCACTGGCCAGGCTCTGCCCTCCGCAGCAAGGCAGGAGGGAGAGGAGGGAAGGGGCGACCATCCTGTCACAATGCGGTGACAGATTTTGGAAGAATTTGGTTCTGGCAGGTAGTTCTCGGGGGGAGGAGAAGGAAGAGGTGATGGAGAAACCTTTTTATTCTTTTTTTTTTTCTTTTTCCTTTTTTAAAAACAATAACTAAAAACAGATGACCCAGAAGGCTGGAGCATAGCTGAGAGCCACCTCTTGTGCCACTATGCACGTGTCTGGTTTGTGCCTCGGCTTTCTGCTGGGAGTGGGAAAGGGGGCAGAAGGGAAAGGGGAAGGGAAAGGAGCATCAGTGGCTCAGTAGTTCTGCGTTTGGTACCCCTGTGTCTCAGTGTCGAAAGCATCTGCCGGAGGGGGCTGCTGGTATGTCCCCACCGCATCTGTAGCATCCTCCTCATTCGTGTAG